CTGGGTGTACTATGAACTATTTTGTGATCCAAGATGGCGGCTTTCGATTTCAGAAAAAATGGGAAATATTATCTAATACCCATAAATACGAGGGGGGCGACACATCTAAATCTCAATTCTAGATGCTCAACATATCTCACACTAGCGAATCAATCTTCGAAAAAAATTGCATCGCGCATCAACTTTTTGCAAGAAATCTTCAGAATCGTCATCGATCTTTTTCTATCTACTCAGCGGGCGCGCAGCTAACCACAGAAAAATACAATTATTCCTACATCGTCCCCGTCGCATAAATATGGTAATTTTTAATCGGGGTGATGTTTAGAGGCCAGAAATTGATATCCGACGATATTTTGAAATCCAAGATGGTGACTTCCCGTATCAGAAAAGTGGGAAATAGTGATGCCGACCCATTAATATGCGTATTTGTGGAATCGGGGTGACGTCTAGATATTAGAAATAGAATACGACGCCATTTTGAGATTCAAGATGGTGGCTTCCAGTTTTAGAAAATATAGGAAATATTGTCAAATATCCATCAATATGGGTATTGTTTGAATCGGGATGACATCTAGAGGCTGAAAAACGATATTCGACGCCATTTTAAAATTCTTGAAATTTTTAAAAAGTGTGAATGCATATGCTTTTTTATAAAATCAGGGTAATGTTTAGAAGCCGGAAATCGATATCCTAGGCCAAAATGAAATCCAAGACGGCGGCTTCCGATTTGAGGAAAAGTGTAAATTTTCAGAACAGGGATGACACGTAGATGCCGAAAATCGATGTTAAACGCCATATTTAAATCCAAGATGGCGACTTCTGGATTCAGAAAAAATTGTGAATAGTGTCAAAGACCCATAAATGTGGGTATTTTCGAAATCCCAGTAACGTCTAGATCCAGAAACCGATGTTTGACGCCATTTTAAAATGTAGGATGGCGGCTTTTGTGAAATACTGTCAAATACCGATCAATGTGAGTATTTTCGGAATAGGGTTGACATCTAGAGGCTGGAAATCAATGTCCGACGCCATCTTGAAATTCAAGATGGTGGCTTCTGATTTTAAAAGAAGTGTCAAATATCCTACAAATGGTGTCGAATATCGATTCTCCAAGCCCGATGGCCGCCATATTGAATTCCAAAATTGCGTCGGACATCGATTTTCGGCACCTTCGCGCCGTCACCGTTCCTAACATACCAATATTGTAGGGTATTTCATTTTCATTTTCATTTTGCAGCGTTTGGTGGGGCAATGGGAGCGCAAGTCAATCCAAAGCCGAGGATAAAGGAAGGGTAATGACTGAATAGTCTATGCGGACCACTTGAACGCCATGGGAAAAGGAAGGGATTGAAGAGGTCGGTTATTTGGGGGGTTTTGAGGAAATGGCACCTAGTACTAGATTTGTGCTGCAAAATGTAAAGAAACCCTAAATCCATCTCCCACTGATTCATCCTTTCATATATATACCAAATTGATATTTTAAAGTAACCATCAAAATAAACAGACAATATATGAAAAGGCTAGTTGCCAGTTGCTTTAAAGGCTAGTTGCCTCCCTAAGCGGACCCCCCGTATCCTAACTCTTTTGTTAATCTACTTAATGTTATTAGACTGTCTAAATTTTCTTATTAAAGTTCGTTTGATGATATGATATAATCACAGACAAACAGACGTAACTCTTCATTGTGTGTCTTCGTTCATGCATTTAACGGTTGATTTGAATATTATCAGTTCCGCGAACTACTCGCCGCAGCGCTGGCATCGGATCACTTTGACGTTTCCATACATTCGATAGAACTTTTATGCAATATTGTTTACGAGTTAGCGAGCAAGCTTGTTTTCCGCGAGAAGCCAGAGAGATGTCGTTACTGAGGTTATATGTTTTGAGATACTATGTTTTCAAGAACAAGTTTTTCAAAGAGTTACGTCTGTTTGTCTGTGATATAATGTCTAATGTCTGATGATTATGATAATAATATGTCTAATTTTATAAATAATTGAAATCTCTAATTTACCTAATCAATCATAACTCATGCTTTGTTAAGTACCTAAACTGCTATGTAATCTAAAATTTATCGTGTTTAAAGTAATTTTGAATTTGATCTATATTTATTATATCTTAGATCGACCCAGGTGACACCTTCAAGTGACTAAAATGCTTCACTTTGAAATTAGTTTCCTAGCTGATTTTTAAATTATGTAAGGTATATGCTCCAACTACACTCACACGTTTCCACTATGTCGTCCCACAAAATTACGTACGGATATGTCACAATAGAAGCACGCCACAGTGGAAATCCCGAGCCATAGTTCAAACTCTTATCCTAAATCAAAATGAAGCACATATAAGATTAGTTACAATACCATGGTGGTGTTTCATATTGTTCCCTGAGTAATGCTTCAATGAAAACAACAATGAAAGCTTGTCACACAAATAGAAGGAGCACTGTTTGGCACTTTCTGAAATATTTCAATAGTATAATTCCCTTGAAAACCCTCGAATAAGAGCAGTGGCGTCGCGTAACCTCACTTTTTACCTGTTCAACAACTTTGAAAACGTTATTTAGGGTCATGTTAACATTCAAATCAGTTTCAAAAGGCATAGGGTCTTCTAGTTTCACTGATTTATATCCATTGGAACCAATATTGTTTTGTTTGTTTACGTTTTGAGAGTTGTTGAACAGGTAGATTGAGGTTAGGGTGACGCCACTGAATAAGAGTGATTTGCGGCAAAACCCGCCAGTATCGCACCCAACGTCAGTGCCTATACGTAAGCGTACTACAACGCGGCTTTCAAATAAAAGAGTAACAAGTGTGATACTATCACTTCAGGCTAGAACTTTGGTTCTCTTATGCAATGATTCATCAGAGAGGGGAAGCTCAGTAATCCTCATCGCATGATCATGACGCTATTCTGTCACGGCATGAGCCAACGATGCCGGACCTAAACCAACCGTCTCCAACGCTCCACTATGAAGCATAAGATTAGGCCCGCCCACCAACGTCCAGGTTAAAAACTAGCCAAGGGGAGGGATACCAATATTGTAGGGTATTTGAGACTTTTCCTGGGCCCGATGACCGCCATCTTGGACTCCAGAATGGTCTCGTTAGTTTAATATTCGTTTAATATAAAATAACATTTTGTTGCTACACATAATGCAGATGCCATGCCTATCGGCAACCGATATTGTGTGGATACTATCCGGTTACTATATGTTGATGCCTAACGACGCGACACGTGCCAAGTCGAATGAGCCCCGAATTGAAGTGAAAGTGGCAAAAACGAAGGAAGCAGTTTTCGAGTCATTCATTGCATCAATTGAAACAAGTCCTTGCTTCAAATGAAATGAGCTGACGTATTTGACGAACGAAACAAGCGATAGTCAAAATCAAGAAACACAATGACTTACACGAAAATGATATTGCTCGAAATGAAGCGATTCTGCGGAGAGTTCATTTTCTTTTCTTTGTTTCGAAAATGTAGAACCATAGAGCTAACTCTAATACCCCGTTCACATTACACCCTTTATCACGTAATATAGGCTGTCTTGCAATGAGCACTCATACATAGGATTTCCAGTGAAAACTAGATGTATGAGTGCTCATTGCAGGACAGCGTATATCACGTGATATACGCTGTAATGTGAACGGGGTATAAGACCAGAAGGTCCCGAAGAAACGTGCTCAACTTTTTTGATTCAGCTCTGGTACTCTCTTCGGTCCCAAGTTAATCAATGCACCCCTCGAAACATAGGAAAATCCACGAACCCCTCATATTATCTGTCAAACTTTCATAGCTAATCAAAACAAACATAGTGTAGTACAAGAATTTCAACTAGAATGGGGTACGTTATTTGATTTGCTTGGGACCAATAGGCTAGGCATGTACGGAGCGAATTTAAAATCGATAGTTTTGTATTGATTGTTGGTAGAACCCTGCTTGGGAGTCAGTAGAAATGGCTGACAAACAAAAAATCCAACGATCAGGACCAACTTACGTCTCTTAAACAGATTCGTTCGAAAGAAAAAGTACTAGTATCCTTAAATTAAATTGTGAAGCATCTTAATGGCTCGCCAAACTTAGTCATACGAATGAAAAAGTACAATTAATTCATTGCAGTAATCACTTATGATGGCAAACATCCTCAACGCAAAGAGAACTGAAACATCAATACGCATATTCGACCGTTTGACTTAATATTACTCAGTTTTCATTTTAGAGCTCATTCCGAACTTAACAAAATATTGGCACAATCAAGCAATTGTAAACAAATGAGAAAGTCTTTGAACGATTTCTCATTTTTTCTCTGGAAAAAAGGCGCCAATTTGTGAGCGGTGTTGAGAGAATGTGAACAAAGGCAAAGAAATCAGTGTCAACATTTCAAAGGGGCGTAATTGCTTTTGTAAACAATGACTTTAGCCGTCAATTTCTCGCGAATGATATCTTACCTCTCCAAAATTACAATGCTAGCTGGTAGAGGAAACATTCCTCTACCTGCTGGTGTTATTATTTTTCATGAGTGAGCTTTTATTTGCGAGAAATCTATGGCTAAAGCCATTGTTTACAAATGCAATTACGCCCCTTTGAAATGTTGGCACTGAAATGAATATTTTTCAATCAAAATAACTTGAAAATTGAAAGTGATCGACTCCGCACCAATCACAGATTGCACTTACTTCGAGTTGCCTGTGTTGGTGATCATTCAACCAAATTCCATCAAACGCGAGTTAACAGAAACATGTTCTTATATTTCTCAGGCTCCATTACGTACCGGTTGCAACCTATGCCTGCTCTTAGCATAAGTTTAGCTATCTTTGAACGGTATGTTGCTATCACAATGAATTATGAGAAAACGTCCAACCAGATCTCATCGAACCCTCCACTCATACATGGTGTGCTGTATGATGACATCACTATACTCGCACGGCTGTCAGGAACTCCGGATGTTTATTTTTCGGTTTGCTAAATCTTCTTATCCGTTATCAGTCCCACTTTAGCAACGAGCATGGAACGTTCGAAGCAAACTGTCCTACGAAGCGTCATTGCTGCAGTGCTTTCGTAAGTATTAAATCAATTCATAAAAAAAAGCCGTCAATAAAAGAAGTCTCAATGTTCCAGTGCATTTCTCGTTACCATACCGGTTCGAGCCCAAATGAGGTGTAGCAACTACAATCCCGACCGATGCACGATTTCAAATTTGAGGATTGCTCTCCCAGATGTCAACTCTCTCAAGTTCCCGATACAGGAGCATATTGACCTGACCAACGTAGATGTGGATTACCTTTCTCCCCAGGTAATGGAACGAATGAAATGGGTCAGTAAGCTGACGATCACCAACGGACTAGTTGGAAGGATCTACCTGAAGCCAGATCTACAGCACCTCTCGGCCACCCGTAGCAACACATTCGAGATCATTATTGAAGCTGAGCAAAATGCGGATCTTGAAGTGATGTCAGTCGTCTCCAACCATCTCAGGACCGTTCCAGAGAACATTGAAAACCTGAAGGCTTTGACGACGCTTCAACTGAGTGGAAACAAAATTGAAGTCTTGGACATGAACAAATTTCACGGATTTCAAAAGCTAGCGTCAATCGATTTGTCTAACAACAAGCTCTACTACCTTGCCCCAGTTATCGATTTGGAGCTTGTTCAGCTTAAGACTGTGGATTTAAGTAAAAACTATTTGACTGAACTCGATTTTGCTGGTTGGATTATGCCCCGGTTACAAACATTGACATTATCTTCAAACCGTCTACCACATTTGATTGCTCTAGAAGCGGAAACTTTCCCGTCGCTACAAAATTTAGTTCTATCGAACAATCTGTTTGACTGCCGTTGGTGGGATCAATTCTCGAATGTGCTATTTAATATAACCAAACGACAGCCAAATATTAACGAATGTACGAAATCAACTCAGCTCAGTCCTGCCACGTACCGCAAGTTGAACATGAGTGACATTCGCAGTTCTGGTTTCCAATTCGACAACAAGGACCAATTGGAAGAGCAAATCAACGGTATGACGGAAATGAGCCAGCATCAGTCAACAAAAATCGAATCCCTCGTGACAGCGGTGGCCAAGCAAGCTACGCAACTCGTTGAAGCCAATGCTAAACTTGTGCAGCAACGGGCTCTAATCGATGATCTTGCGGCACGAGTCGAAAGTCTGTACGAGCAGTTGGGACAGCTGAAGGAACTAACCCAGGATGCTCCAGTCGGTAAAATCGCTCCCAAAGGATTGCGAGAAAAGTTGATCCGGGAAATATCGGAAGTGATCCGGAAGAATTTACCCGCAGATGAGTGAGGTTGCGGAAGAAGGCTTACACTTACAATGAATAAATTCAAATGGAAATCTTCAAAAACTGTGTACAATAGTAACAGATAAATAAACGTTCAATATGGATTTCAATCATAGTTCTTAATTTTTCTCATAATTTCAAGCTCTCCGAACCATAGAGAACAGACATCCAAGCTTAAACAAATTTATCGAAACATTTTGTATAAGAATTCAAATTAAAATACGTTAGAAACACTAGCGCCGCCATACGGAATTTTGCGACTCGAGTAATCACTTTTTGCGAATAATGAGTTAACTGAACTAAAATTTGGGTTGATCTTATTGACCGTGTATCCGAATGAACTGTCAAATCAGTTCAAAACAAACAATACAAAACAACGGAAATCAATCGAGTTTCTGTGGAACCATTATTTTCGAATAAAAAGCTTAATTATTTTACAGTTTCCTGTAGATCTACAGCCGTTTTTTTTTTAACTGGGCATAGTAGTCAGGAGCAAAACTTACTTTTTTTATTCACTGGTGCCATTTTGCCATTTCTTGATGAATTTCAAAAATTGTGGTACCGTTAGAATTCCTACACTCATAAAATTCGACACATTTTTATTGGCGAATATCCATGTAAAATTCCACATGATTTTCATGTGTCCACACATAAACAGAATCCACTCAGAAGTACACATGAAATTTATGAGTCAAATGAATAGTATGTGTGGTTACACATGAATTGTGTGTGTACACATAAGAACTATGTGTCCGACACATATATATATAATTTGTTTATCACATTGCAAAAATTCATGTGTGGGACACATAAAAATAATCATTGAATTTTTATTAGTGTAGGGTTTGTAGATGATGTTGATTGTCAAAATATTGAAAATAGAGTCGTCTACTTTTATAAAAAGCGAAAAGAGTTGTTACACGTTTTTTTGAAAGGTGTGTTTGTAGGGTTTTGCAAGTGGCGCAAGATCTGTAATTTACATTAATGGGCCCAAATGTTCACAATTAGCCAGAATACAGTCATAGTTCCTATATATGGATCCTAGAGACAACGAAACGGTCCTCGAAAAATCCGGAACATCCGTAAAAAATGGTCAATCCATGAACCTGATCCTAGAGCTCTGCGGTTTTTGTTAAAACATTAGGAACTGTAATATAAAATTTTTTTTGGGATCATGATATAAATATGTACCTGGATGGCCATGGGACCGCCCTCCGGAAGATCCGGAACATCCGTAAAAGTGATCAATTCATGAAATTGATCCTGGAGCTCCGCGTTTTTTAACATTAGGATCTGTGATATAAAAATGAATTTGGTCATGGATCCAGATGGCCATCGGACCGTCCAGCGGAAGATCCGGAACATCCGTAAAAGTAGTAAATCCACGATTCTGATCCTAGAGCTCCGCGTTTCTTAATAAACATTAGGAACTGTGATGATAGAATGAATTTGGGGTTGTGACATAAACATGAACCTAGATGTGCATGGGACCATCCTCCGGAAGATCCGTAACATCCGTAAAAGTGCTCAAGCCATGAAACTGATCTTAGGGTTCCGCAGTTTTTGAAAAACACTAAGAACTGAGATGATAGAATGAATTTGGGGTCGTGACATAAACATGGACCCAGGTGGCCAACGGACCGTCCTCCGGAAGATCCGAAAAATCCTTAAAAGTGGCCAATGTATGGAACTGATCCTAGAGCTCCACAGTTTTTTCGAAAACACTTGGAACTGTCATATATAAATTAATTTGCGGTTGTGACATAAACATGTACCTAGAAGGCCATGGAACCGTCCTCCGCAAGATCCAGAACATCTTTAAAAAATTTCAATCCTCGAAACTGATTCTAGAAATCTACGGTTTTTTCGAAAGCATATGAAACTGCGATATAAGAAAGATTTTGGGGTCATGAAATAAACATGGACCCAAATGGCCATCCTCTGGTAATTCCAGATTATCCGTAAAAGAGGTCAATCAATGAAACTGATTCTAGAGCTCCGCAGTTTTTTTTTCCAAAAACATTAGGAACTGTGATATAAGACAGAATTTGTGGTCATGACAAAAACATGGACCTGGATGACCATAGGACCGTCCTCCGGAAGATACGGAAAATCCGTAAAAGTGATCCAGTGGTTTCTTATATCACAGTGTTAAAAAAAGAACTGCAGAGCTCTAGGATTAGTTTCACAGTATGACAAATTTACGGATGTTCCGGATCTTTTGGAGGACAGTCCCATGGCCATCTGGATCCATGTTTATGTCACGACCCTAAATCCTATCTTAAATCGCAGCTCCAAGAGTTTTCGATAAAAACCATGTTTTTTCACAGTTTCATGGATGATCCACTTTTACGGATGATCCGGATCTTCTGGAGGACGGTCCAATGGCCATCCAGGTTCATGTTGATGTCTCGACCCTAAATTCTTTCATATATCACAGTTCGAAGTGTTTTAGACAAAAATACGGAGCTCTAGAAACAGTATCATGGATGGACCACTTTTACGGATCTTCTGGAGGACTGTGCCATGGTCGGTCATTCTGTTCCATGTTTATGTTAAGACCCCAAATTCATTCTAATATCACAATTCCATGGTTTTTTCGTTCTTGGACGGTTTTCGTTCTTGGATCAATTTGTTGGCTTGCTTGCTTGCAATCGTGCTAAGGCCATGTTGTCTTCTGCTGTCCGAAGATGTCGTCTCCACTCTACTCGATTCATGGACAGACTTCGCCATCCTCGTAGTCTGCGAAGGGTCCGCAGGTCACCTTCTACTTGGTCGATCCACCTTACCCGCTGCGCACCTCTTCTTCGTTTTCCTGTTGGGGCACTTTCGAGAACCATTTTCACTGCGTCGTTGTGCGACATTCTTACGACATACCCAGCCCATCGTAGTTGCCCAATTTTTGCAATGTGAACGATGGATGGTTCTCCCAACAGCTGGTGCAATTCGCCTCCTCGACGTTCCGTCATCCATCTGCACTCCACCGTAGATGGTACGCAACACCTTCCGTTCAAAAACACCAAGGGCGCGTTGGTCCTCCACGAACATAGTCACAGTCTCGTGGCTGTAGAGGACCACCGGTCTAATCAGTGTCTTTTAAATAGTCAACTTCGTGGCGAATTTTATTCGACCGCAGCGTCCAAAGTAGGCACGATTCCCTGCCATAATGCGTCTTTGAATTTCTCTGCTGGTATCATTTTCGGCGGTTACCAGTGAGCCCAAATACACGAACTCATCGAACACCTCGAATCTCTTCTTTTCATGTATTTTGTCTTTGATGCGTTGATGGAAGTGCCAATCCACCTAGCTTCAGCCTTCAGTCTGATGTACGTTTCCGCCATCGTCTCAAAGTTCCGTGCCATGATGTCGATGTCATCGGCGAAGCCAAGAAGCTGGATGGACTTCCTGAAGCTCGTGCCACTCGTGTCTATCCCTGCTTTTCTGATCACACCTTCTAACGCGATGTTGAATAGCAGACACGAAAGTCCATCTCCTTGCCGTAACCCCCTTCAAGATTCAAAGGGACTCGAGAGCGTCCCCGATACTCAAACAACGCACATCATTCGATCCAATGTCGCCATCTTTAAAAAAAGTGTAACAACTCTTTTCGCTTTTTAAAAAAGTAGACGACTCTATTTTCAATCTTTTGACAATCAACATCATCTACAAACCCTAGGAATTCTAACGGAACCACAATTTTTGAAATTCATTAAGAAATGGCTAAGTTATGCCATTGCAAACTTGCCGTTACACGTTTTTCGGAGGCATCGTATTCGGAGTGTTAAGAAGGTAGCATTCAACTTACCTTTTCCCTCAGGGGCTGCCTACTCTGTCGATTGAGAGGTTACGTTGGGCCCGCGCCGTCGCTCGTTGCTCTATGCGTCGTCGCAGGCGTCGGGGCACTTGCGGCAGGGATTATCATAGGAATCCTGTGAGCACACGTGGTTAATATATTTCTGGTTGCGGCGCACTTTTCGGACGTAGGTTCAAAATTTCATCCTCTCGTGCACTAATATGGACCGTTCTAACGGCAGATTCTGGTCTGGTTTCTCGGACCAAAACTAGGATCACGAAGGAGGCAATTCTTCACTCCTTCGGCTACCACACAACCGACGGACACTCGCGAACTACCAATCCCATGCAGTCGAGAACGCATATATCTAATGACGGGGTTTGGGGATCAGCTCGGCGGCAATTAATACGGACACTTCGTCCGAACACCAGAATTACGCACTACCAAGACTAGGTTTTGCTTCTTCTGGCCAGGTTAACAGCCAGGTTTCACTCGCCACACTACCCGAACAAAGTTAGAGATCAAATTGAAATCAGAATTTGCATTCATAATGTTTGACTGAATACGGGCCTGTCGTAAATGGTTAGCATCCATGCTTCTCACGCTGAAAGATTTGAGCTCAAATGTCACCTCGGGCTAGTCACGAATGACCTAAAATGACCTAAATTTTAAACAAGCAATTAACAGAAGAACTTCAAGTTAAGTTGCTTTGATTTAAAAAGTCTTGACTGCATAATGAAAGCACAATACGATATCAGACTTCTGTCGCGACAATTGAAATCAAAATGAGTTTTCATTATAATAGGAACTGCAAACTTTAATATCGATTTGCTTTCATTTTGTTAACCGACTTTGCTTGGGTAGGCGTCACACACGCGAAGGCAAAAATCCGTACTTTCCTTTTTTAACACTCGACTTTATTCCGCGCGTCCGTAGGTACTATCCAAAAGGTTTTCCACAAAAGAGACCCCATCAAGCGATCGAGCGCCTATTTATCTTCTCCCTCGCTCGCAATGGGAGGGCTGAACTTCCTTCCCACACACGTTTGCCAACCCTTGAGAAGGGGTGGTAGTTGTCTACTCGAGCAGTTTTGGTAGCGGACGGCGCTCAAATAGGCGAGTTTATTTTGAATATTATAACAATTTATTGTTCTAGCTCCTATCTTTCAAACTATTACAATAATGCGTACATTTTAATTTAATGGGACATGCTGTAATGTTACAATGTGAACTCTAATTAG